GTAATTGACAGCTAGACTGATAGTGGGATGATGCATTGTACCAGCTCGAGTGGGAGACCTGCCTAGACCCCCGGCTACTCCAATCTTGGCCAAAGCAATTGATTGTTTTCCAACATGGCCTTTACTTGTCAGTACAATGTAATTATTTATCAGGTCCATAGACTCGTGTTTTGACATGTTATTAGAAGAGGATGGAATTTTTCAAGAGGGAGCGTTTAACCAATATGTGAATGTTCGTTAGTTCTTATATCACATGAGGCTGTTTTCTGCTAAAACAACGGTTGCAAGAGGTCTAAGTGACGTGAAAATCTACGAAATGCAAATAAGCTTTATGTGACCGTTATGCTGCTTCATTAAGCATGCAAATCATCACTGAGCAAACACGTTCAAACTCATCACAATACTTGCATAATGCCAGATGTTAGCAAAATACAATGGAGTTCAATATTCTACGATTACGATAACATAATTTATAAGCAAAGTACTGAATTACCATTAGAAGAATATTAGCGTGATCGAAACGTTAATCGGAAACAAGTTTGACCATATAATTAGTCAACGGTTGGATGCTATCCTGTTTAGAAAGCTGATTGGGTTATACTTTGAGTGAAATGCTGGCATTATATTTTTGAAATTTAATTTTAAGTGCTACTTGGGTGCTTCGGTGTGACGGATCTTTCGAAATCTGCCTTCACAATATTTATTGATGCAATATGTATAAAGATTGCGTGCATGACATTTTACAATATCTGCAATGTAACGATGGTTGGAAAAAGCTCAGAAAATGTAGATAAAATTCAGTGCGTGAGTCATGTGCCTATAGATCGGTATCGTGTATAGGTATGGTGTAGTTGAAGTAAAAGCTCGAAAGGATTGAGGAGGAGGGAAGCTGAGTATGAGTCAAGACAGCCACTCTCAGCAGACGGTGAATGCATGCATGTGTTTCATTTCTTCTCAGACGAGGATTTTATTTGAAAGAAAGGGATGGATGTCGAAATCAGAGAGGAACAGGTTTTTAGTTGGTACAGATGGCTCTAGATAAGCAGAGTGGGCACAGAGCATGTGTTCCAAGATTCTTATTAGTTTTACTTAAAAATGCAATTATTTGGCATTTCAGTGGATGTGGAGAAAAAGCTTGATATTCATGACAAGTAATGAAAGAGAAAGTTGCAATGTCAGGAAAGCATACACACGTGGTAGGTCCATTCTTTCTAGGTCCAGTGATGATTATGGGAAGCATCTTGCTTGGTGAATCATATAAAGTCATAGGTTTGATCTATCAGAGCATGAATACATGTAAGAGCTGGGGGAATGAAATATAATTTTAAAAGGGGGAGAGAGAAAGAAAGAGAGAGAAAGATAAAGATAGAGAGAGAGAGAGAAAGAGAGAGAGAGAGAGATAGGTAGGGGAGACTGGAGAAAGAGAAAGAGAGGGAGATAAAGAGAGAGGATGAACGAGAGAGGGGGTCGAATATGATGGGGACAATTGGAAGTATAGAAAGGCAACATTAAACCCCAAAACGTGATTAATAGACATTTCAAAGACATTCAAGTTAGGGCCTACTTCACAAAGTTTGGAACTAGCAGCAAGTTTCTGACATGACTTGTATAGGTGGGTTAAGCAGGAAAATCTTTGAAAAATACTATACTATAGTGCCCTGCATGCTGCAGATAGCAGTGTACAGATGAAGGAGGCATGCATTCCGATAGCGTTTTTGACGTCGATTATCTTATGGAACGTAGAAACATACAGAGCTGTCATCGTTAATCCTGATTGGGGTCATCATCGACCTCACCATCACGATCATCTATGACACCATACCGAGGGTCAGAGAGAGAGAGACAGAGAGAGACAGAGAGACAGAGAAGGAGTGAGGAAGAGAGGGTAGAGATGTAATCTTCATTCGGGTCAAGATCGTGACGATTAAAAGGTCGTCATCTTTTGAAACATTACCTTTATATACAGGGGTATAACATTATATTTCAGAGATTAATATAAGGTCTTTAAAATTACCTCGACATCGCAATCAGCCCTATGCCCACAAAACACAACGCGTCTATCATCTATTCCATGTCTACAGGAAGCCCAATATTACAACAGCTAATTTAGACAGATTAGCCCTAAATGATTATTGAGCACGTCACTCAGGTAATTAGCATTACTTATTGAATAACATGTATTTAGAAACATCAATCATGTTTGAATCATTAAAGTAAATACTCATCGATATACAATCCACGAATCTTGTGTTCGTACAAATAATGATGATGTCTGTTATTGTGATCACTCAATCACATTGTTACAGCTATTATCGGTCAAGGTAGTTGTACTACAGTCCACTATATACTCATGGTCTTCTTGCAAGTGAGAGCAGCATGGTCATTCACTTGATTCTCAACTGAGAGTTTGAGAGTCTGAATCCTATAGCCCGGTGCCTATGTTCTTTACACAAGGCATTTTAACGAAAGTGCCCGTCTTCACCCATGTGTGCAATGCGTACCAGGTGATAGGTCTATCCATGGAGATATATCTCCATGGTCTATCATAGGTATCGTAGGATTTATCTCTCGTATTAAACACAATGAGTGGTGACAACGGCTGTCGAAGTCAGAGCTTTTTCTATACGACACACACAATCATGCTGAAACATAGTTACGAATTGTGATATGACACAAAATAAAAAGGGAACATTATCATGCAAATTAAAAATACGGTTATCCCATCCCCTCTCCTTTCCATGATAGTTTGGCTCCTAGCATAGTTTCGAGGTGATTCTGAAATTACATTCACACGTGTTCACGAATCTGAAATTCTATACTTCCTAATTCAATAAAGCAATCGGAAGTTATTAATTATTAATTACATGAAGTGTGCGACATGATGTGACAATTAGAGAAAAGATTTCAGCTAATTGCCATGTTTTAATTATATAGTAGAATTCTACGTTTATTTATTTTTGTTCATTATCATGATTATAGAGAAGTCCTCATTTAGCGATAAAATGTGTAACCTTTGATCGTTTAAAAAAAACGTAATTTTCTACTCTATATCTATGTTGCATAGGCCTACATACATGCATCCATCTTATAATGACTCAATGCTCATCATACCAAAGTGCCAACTCATATTCCCCCGTCGTCTAGGTAACTGGTTCTAAACAACAGAGCCTGCTCATGATGTTCACCGCCATATCCTTCAAGCAACGTTATGGAGCAAGGCAAATTCAGTGTTTAGGACTGATGTGATCACCACACCACACTGTAGCACAAAATTGTTTCTAACCAGCAACCTTGACAAGTTGACAACTTGGTCAGTATGACCTCACTTCCACTTCGGTACTCTATTGTATTTAGCTCTACATGTTCAGAGTACTCTGAAACTTTACATTACGTAATGATTGCCTGTCATAGCAACACGGATGTTTTCACACTATGAACATGACGGACAAAGAAAGAGGACTAAATATACAGTTCCTCATTCTACCCTCAATAATTGCTGTGGTAGACAAAGGAACATCTCTTCACTGCTATTATGTAAAAATGTGTAGAACAGGAGTCACATGCATATTCACCTGTTCTACACGATTTTACATAATAGCAGTGAAGGGATGTTCCTTTATCTACCACAGCAATTGTTGAGGGTAGAATGAGGAACTGTATTTTGTCCTCTTTATTTGTCCGTCATGTTCATAGTGTCATATACTATTACAAGTTAGACCTACTATTAAACATTCCGATCGGATAACATAAATTCTTGAAATGCTTGTTTAGATGCTTAATTGTCTTGGATCTATACAAGGATTGTGGAACGTGGTAAATAGCAACAATTAGCATGCGGAAAGCAAAAAGGTTTCTATTGTATGTTATTGGACGGTCTCGTCACTACTGGGTACTCCCAACACGATGACATTTGAATTTAACGAGTTTGAGAGGCCCTTTCCTTTACTATTTTACTCTCAATAATTGTGTTTGTTTCCTCATACCCCCACGTCAAAACAAAGGCGTATATACCGAAGAGAGATGAAGACATACTAGAAAAGGTCCAACAGAGGGCCCCCAGACTTCTTCCTGAGCTGAAACAAAAAGCATACCAAGACAGACTTAAAGAACTACAACTTCCTACTTTGACTTAGAGAAGACAAAGAGCAGACCAGATACAGATATTCAAAATCCCCAGGCTTCGACAGAGTGAATCCCTCAAAATTCCTCCAACACCACTGGCTCAACAATAAGAGGCCATAATTTCAAGATAGTCAAACAACATTTCAATTCAAGACTTAGGCAGTATAGTTTGTCAATAAGAAGTGTAATGCCCTGCCTAAGGAAGTGTCAATGCTGCCACCATTTACATAGAAAGGTATTGGAGAAACAAAATCCAATTAAGTTTGAAACATACTTGAGACGGGATGGAACAGTAAAGAGGGACAAATAAGATAAGCTTCCAGTCTCTATACCCAAGTGAGTATACCGAGAACTTACGGTAGCATATCAGGAACTTTGAGAGGATTTATTTTTATTATAAAAAAAACAGGAAACGGAAGAACGAATATCGAAAGAAACTAGGCCCCCATGTTACTACTGTGAACATAAAATGAACTATCAGACGGAAACGGGGTAAATAATATATCCTTGTTGTTGTTTTTGTGGTAGACACTCTTATAACGAAATGAATATAAGGATCTATTTTTTTTCTTTCAAGAAATGATGTATTTTCCAAATTATATCTCCGCATCAGGTCGGCGCGCATGGCTTGTCACTGTAAGAGGGGGCGATGCGTCAGTAATGTTATCCATGGTTACGTACACTAAAATATGGCCATTATCATCGATGTACTGTATGTTAATGCATTGTCATAAATGTACATTTTCATTACAAATGATTAAATGATGATGATGGAAAAAGAAAATTATGAACATTCCTATATAGGAAGATCACCCTTGTTTAGATGCTGAACAAGCTTTGACAAGTAGCAGAATAGAAGTAGAAGTACAAATACTTACTTGTTAGACCAAACGTGAGAGCTCGAACAGAGAAAAATATGCCCAGTGTTGTGATAGTCGAGTCGAATTCCTTAACGATGTCGTCGAGAAAGACTGTCAGGCTCGTCGATATCCCAATCCCAAAGAAAAGACATAGATGTGCATAGACGACGAGTAAGGCCACGGAACATCTCAGCCCACCGCATGATGAACGGGCTCCGTCCGGGCTCTCTCCCGCTGCTTCAACCGGCACCATCCCGCTGGCTGTCTTCACCCGACGAAACATGATTTAACAGCAATTAAAGAAAAATCGCTCCAAATTCATGTTCTCACTGCAATAATGTTGATATCCTTCTCAAAATCCCTTCACGAAAGTCCAGCTTTTAGTCCAATAGCAGCTATTCCTTACGCTTTCTACCCGTGCGAGAGTTCAAAACGTTTGATCTGTTTAAAAGGCTACCAGCGTATGATATCGAACTTTGTTGGATTAAAGCTTTTTATCGTCTGCCCAAAACAAGACTCACGTTATATGTGTAGTGAAGTGGCGCCTGAATGAGAGCGAATTGAACTGAGCGCGGCGGAGGCTGCCGAAAGGTGAATCGACGGGCATTCGGTATCGGGCATTCACACGTGCATGCACACATAGGAGGACGAAGAAAGATAATAGCATAGCTTCGCATAAATAGGGCCGCAGAACACGTACGCATTACATTAACAAGCCAAGTTGAATGCCATTGCACAGCACGGCATCCACGCAGGTGTAACTTCACGCATGCGTACTCGTGCTGTCCCTAAGTGATGTTTTCCTCTCAAAATGTTAATGTGAGAGGCAGGCCCTTGTCGATATTGTATTCAAATTTCTGTGCATTTACGCGGGTATTCCCAAAGTAGCCCGAAGGCAAGTACCCTTTCAATATGGAAATTGCCTATGATTTTAACGGAACCATCTCGTCATATAAAAAAGAGGCACTTTCAGTCGACCATGTAGTTCTACTAATATCTGCAAAGGAAAAGGTGCAAAATCAAATCATATGCCATTGGGGTCCAGACAATGATTAATATGGCTTAAGTTTAGATAAATGGATGCTCTGTATATTTACTGATTTGTTATTCTCTTCCAACTTCTCCTTCTTCGTTTACGCTTCCGACAGCACCATCTTCTCCATCTTATTCCCTTTACCTTTCATTTACCCCCCCCCCCCCCCTCTTTATCAAGTCGTTGTCTAGATAATTATAATAGGCCTACATCGATAATACTATTTTCAATGTTAACACTGGGCCATTCATATACAAACTTTGTATTCTTAGTATTTTTAGTACTGTTAAGCCCCGCTCTCTTCTTTTCTCTCCTTCTCTTTTTCTCTCTCTCAATGTTACGGTAATCGTCTAGCATATATCTTCACCATCCTCCTCCCATGTTTCATCCGAGGTCGTTTTGAGGGTAAGAAGACACAAAGCTCTGATTTGTGAAGCCAAGTTCACCACATCATGAAACACATTCTCAAGAATGTCTGGAATTTAAGTCCTCAGATGTTCGGGAACCTTAAATTTAGTTGAAAACCATAAACAAATCAATGACTTGCAAAAGGAAATCCCTGCGTTCTTATCTTGTCTCTTAAATCTGAAAACTTTTTTTAACACTCATCGTGATTCAAAGCCCTGTGACCAAAATCAATTCGCCAATCATTCGCTCTAACAAATCTAGACTTAGTAATCCCGATAAAATACGACGGTAGCGAACAGCAGCCAACTCTAACTCAGACCAATTATTCACCACATCCTACAGATATGGGGACTATTCAGGAAAAATGAGAAAATTGCTTTAGCATGCTGGGAGGGTAAAGTTCAATGACCCGTAGCAGAGGGGTTTGAAATCTATCACAGATTCACTTTCAGGGGCAGACACATCTCTTAATCATGGAGAAAACAAAATGTCTGGAAATATCATATCAGAGATGGGAAACGAATCAATTTTGGAAACATTTTTTTCTTCCTGCCTTCGATTGTTGAGGAGGGATCTTGGTAGAACCGCAAGTGATAAGAAGTGGTGTTATATATATCGTGTATGTCAACCGATGACGAGTAGATTATGATAATCACCTAATTTATTTGGATATTTGATTTCTTACTTATAATGGTTTCTTCTCTCCTATTCTTTTTTTTATTGGTGTGTGGGGGGGGGGTGTTTCCCCTCTACCAATGTTTCGTATTTACCACAAGCATGACAAGCCTCGTATTACTTTTCTCTTTCCTCTTTTGCTCTTCCTATTTCTACTCCCCAAACATTTCCTCTTGATTGTAGCACTGAATGTCAAATTGTATTACAGCATTTTTCTTTTTCATTTTAGCCGATCAACATTTCACATTCAACGTCCACAGCATTTTTAAGATTGTCGACAAAATGAGTGTACTAAAAACATTCTGCAATGCCAATTTTTCCATTTAATATCATCAGTCCTAAAAGCATTTTCTTGAGATAAATAGAAATATTCTTACTTGAAATAGAGATATTATCACGTTTACTATAAATCGGTTCATGGCAAACGATACAATGACAGCGATCATATTAATCAGTTAATAATCATAATTAAATTATTGGATACAAGGTGCTGTCCCTCGTCCATAAACAACTTTACAAGAATTGTAAAGGTGTGATTTCAAATTATTTTGAGGGGAAGAAGTCAAGGATAGTACTATTTCTTAAAAATAAAGGGAGTTTATTTTACAGGCGTTATATACATCTAAAACAACAATGAAGTAGAATTTCATTTTAAGAAAGAAAAAATATTCACCCTGTATTCGGCAAGATATAGATATGGCCGGACAAACAAATGCATTTATTATGACAACCTCCACTTGCACCCATGCATGGTCAATGTAGAGACAGCGTTCATAATGCGACATACTAGTCTTGATCAATATGTTTCGTGCGTTGCCTGTCGGCTTCGTTCGTTTTGTTTTCCCTCCTACCTATATATCGTGTGCTCCATTATGTCAATATATTCCTTGGGGATCTGGTTTCCCGTTCTAGATGAGCAATATTGAACTTGATCGAGATTTTCAGCTCACACTCTCTTTCTCTCTCCCTCTATCTCTCCATCTGTCTCTCTCTCTCTCTCTCTCTCTCTCTCTCTCTCTCGCTCTCTCTTCCGTTCCTACTTCTTCCTTCTCTCTCTCTCTCTCTCTCTCTCTCTCTCTCTCTCTCTCCCTATCACTTTCCTTCATAATCATGTACTCCCCTCATTTTCTCGCCCTCTTTCTCCCATACTCCGATAACATAATTATGTTAACTATGAATCTATAATGTCTGATAGTTTATCGTGGATGTCTTTATTAATTTTATTGTTTGAAAATATTAATCAGTATACCTTGTGACTCGTTTGTTGGAAAGGAACAATAGTCATATAGCCTAAATGATATAAAAGAAGAAAGCACTTTGCAAAATTTAGATCTATAGTCTCCTCCTCTCTTTTACTTCTGTTGCTTGGACTATTCCGCTTAATCCCCCCCCCCCTCTTCTCTCTCTCTCTCTCTCTCACTCTCTCTCTCCCTTTTTTCTCCATCTCTCTCTCTCTTTTTATCTCCTTTTCACATTCTATCTCCCTAATTCTTTCTAATTCTCTCTATCCTTCTCTTTCCCTCTCTTTAATTTTTCTCTCTATACCCGCCCATCTCCTCTACTCTCCCCTCCCTCTATCTTTTTTTTTGTCTTTCTCATTCACCGCATTCACCTATATTGGTCTACCATGTTGAATCACCTGTTCTCGATCGCGTCGATATCCTTTGAATGATACCAAATGATCTGACAGCTCCTTCTGAAAGGGGTGCGCATTAGACCCCCTCCACCACCCATTCTTCGGAGTGAAAGCGAAGCTTAATTGCATCTATTAAACCCCTAAGTACCAACCCGCCGTGTTATAATCCCACTCTCACCCCCTTTCCTCTTTCTAACTTGGACTTGAATTTGAGAGGCGCTGCGTGGGGTCTTGATAGACAGGTCTCGAACCCTCAAGATAAGTGGTTCGGGCCAGTCATCGGATCTAGATCGCTAATTAATGATTTCCTTATCCCCTCTTTTTAAGTGTTGAGAGTCTCTGCACCCTTAATTCCCCTAATTGCTTTAACCACGGTAATAGAAAGTGCGGTAATGCTTGGTTTGGATCTCAATCGACTAATTCAAGAATGAGTGTACCATTATTTAAATTGATACCACCATTCTCGGGGTGGGAGTAGGTCGTGTTGCAATTGGACGTGCGCATTTGTAGGAGTGTCTTAATTCTGGTATTATATTAAAATATGCAGCATTTGCTTGTATTTATTTATTTGTATTATTCTATTTTGGCGTGATACCAATCACTTTGTGCTATTGTATGTTAACCGTTTGATTTATCGCTTAATATAATTATCGTTTTTGATATTACTTTTGAAAATAGTATGAGAGAGTTAACAAGCACGTCCTAAGAATAATATGCAAACCTAAACAAAAGTCAAATATGCAAAAGAAATGAGATCTCGTACCATTATAAGCAATATGAATCAAGGGTACCCAGGTTTCATCATCAGAATTAATCCTATTCTCCATGAGGGCCCTGCAAATAATTACCCCCGCGTTGTAATGTACTCATTTAATATATCTGAGAGGGACAATGCAGACGGTACACCTTGCCCAAGGATGTAAGCCTTGAGCACGGATCGAACCTAGGACCTCGTGAATAACAGCCAAGGGCCTCCATCACAGTGCTCCAGCATATATTATCCTCCAGTCTTCCTCAACATGAATGTTGGGCCCTCATCATCTCAATCATCGTTCTTGTTTTAACATTGCTGACTACATGATGAAATACTGCATCATTGGATGCCTCGGGTTCCTCTACAGGCATCTAGTATATCGAATAACAGTCGAATTCCGGAAACATGGGTCTCCATCATACGCAACGATGTTAATATTAAAGGAAATGTACTTCTGTGCATCCCATTTTCTTAAATACATGTAGTCACGATTTACTTTTCAATGTTGTACTCATTAGGCGGTGTCACACAAAGGCCCAAAATCCGGAATTTAGTTATCCTCTTAATTGCTGTCTGTCATCATTATTATCCCATTAAAAATCCTCTAACGAAGCAAGAAAAAAATTTCAGAAAAAATCCCTTAAAAAATCCCTTGAAAAATCCTTTCAAGGGATTTTTTAAGGGATTTTTTCTGTGTGACACCGCCTAATATTAGAGTCTGCCCATGTATTAGTAACAAAACTAACTATGCCTGACAAAATGGATACATATACTTTA